GTTTCAATCTCTAAAACTTTTTAGGTACTGGCCCTAAAACTTGATATAGTTTCTCTCTAAAAATCAAAATATGAGATTGTTTCTCTCTCAAAAAAATTTGAAATAGTTTCTTTTTGTAAAAAATTTAGGTGGTTTCTCTTTTTAAAAATTTGCGTGTACTTTCTCACTTTCAAATATGATAGTTTCTCTCTAAATCGTAAAATTTGAGACTGAAAAATTTTGGTATTTTCTCTCTCTAAAATTTTAACACAGACTCTCTCTAAAAGTTAAAATTTGATACAGTTTCTCTCTCTAAAATTTTGAAATAATTCATCGCTCTAAAAAAAATTGGTAATTTTTCTCTCTAAAATTTTAACATACTTTCCATCTCAAAAGTTAAAATTTGAGATAGTTTCTCTCTCTAAAAATTTTAAGATAGTTTTTTTTTAAAAAAAATTTAGGTACTTTTTCTATCTAAAATTTTCAAACCTACCAAATGCTCCCTATGTTTCAGGTCGACGGAGCCAATTACTAAAATCCATGGCCCTTAGAAATGCAAAAAAAAAAAAAAAAATTGTTGTGGAAATGAAATCATGAAAAAGTAGGACTTGTTTCCATGATTTTGATTTTATTGATTTTAAGTATCCTAGTCATTAAACAGTCCAAACAGTGGATTTTGGCAATATCCAAGATATTGGGAATCCATGACTTAAAATCCGTACTACCCAAACAGGCCCTTAAGTGTGACACTATTCTCACACAATAAGGCACATAATTTGCGTGCTGTCCGTAACTTCATCCCATAAATAAGAAAGGAAAAATAAACTAATAAGTATAGAGTTAATGATTATCACTGATATCTACTTGTTTCTCCATATTACACCACTTTGTTGTGGGGTCGTGAGTGTCTTCTTGTTTTCTTGAAAAGGATTTACTTGAGGTTTAATGGCCATGGGAATTTTGGAGGACCAAGGGTTGGTCACCTTGGTTTTCTAGAAATTAGGGTATAGAACTCAAAAGGCGCTAAGGAGACTACATGCAAGCGTGGCGTTCCTAAGGACCTTATAATTGGTATCAGAGTAAAAGGTATGTATGGAGTTAAGACTTAATGTTTTAGTGAAGAAAAAGATGAATGGCAAAATTAGATGGAAGCACGGTTTGAGGTACAGAAATATGGAGACAAAGTGTTTGTGGAAACTCCATAATGGAGGCAAGAGATGAGATATTAAGAAATATATTCATTGAATGTTGACACGGCAATTATGGTGATTTTGACGAAGATTATTAGGTTTGGTGACAAGAAAAATCACCACACCTACGTTTTCTTGAAATTGAGGTATATATATTTTTTATTATGGTAAAAAAAAAAACAAAGATTTTCTTAGGAATAAAAAACGTTCTTGAAATTGAGGTGTATATTTTTTTTATTATGGTAAAAAAAAAAAAGGAATTTTCTTAGGAATCAAAAAAGTTCTTGAAATTGAGGTGTATATTTTTTTATTGTGGTAAAAAAAAAAAAAGAATTTTCTTAAGAATAAAAAAAGAAGCCCCAGTAATCTCTATAAGAAGGGTCAAGGAACCATAATACTCGTAACTTTTAACTCATCCCTTTAGGGGTCATGGGAAGGGATCCCTAAGAAAGGCTCGGTCAGACATAACCTCCAAGAGAGAGGCGGTATGCCCATTGAAGTTTAGGTTGGTTTTATTTTTACTTTTAAAGAGAGAAAGTCACTTGGTTCCTTTCAAGGTGCTCTCTCAAATACGGCATAGCGATGGGAAATATGAAGTTGATCGTCGGTATTGCTCAGTAGGAAGAGCAGGTTTGGAAGGGAAGATCGGTGAAGTTCTTGCAGGTGTCTCGAGAGATGTATTATATCTTAGAATCTAAACTTGTAATCTTCATTGTGATAGTGCATTTTTATTTGCCGAGATTGTGGATGTAGCCCTATGAGGCGAGCCACACATATCATATGTCCTTATAGTGTGGCTTTTGTTTTTGTTTTATTTCTTGCACTTAATTTATGTTTATATTGACCTATTTCGTATTTAATTAACTATGTACACGATCTTGGGTGGGATCCTAGTCTTTAGAATTCCTAATTCCATGAGCAATATTTATCGAGGAACCTTCACAACCCAACCATTTTTTTTTTTTTGTAATTCAGTGCAGAAGACAAGTCCCTACCCGTTTTTTCAAGTAGATTAGAGTTAGCTTTTTTGAGGTATTAGTGGGGTGGTGTTAGTGGTGGGAATGGAAACGACAACGTGGTAACTAGAGTATGGGGTACTACCATCACGAGCCCAGCCCCTTTCCCTATTTTTTTTTTATTTTTTAGGTAATTTAGTGGGGATGAAGAGCTCCTACCTGTTTATTCAAATTATTAGTGGTTTTTTAATGTGTTAGATGAGAATCGAAGCCTAGACCGTAGCTGGGGCACATGTGGTACTACCATCATGACCCCAACCCCATTCTCGCCTGTGCATGTTGAGTGAGAGGGACCAACTCAAATGGGAATTAGTTCCTTGTCAAATTAGGAAAAAAAGGCACCTCATAAACATAGAGGAAAAGAGTGGTCGAATACTAGAAGACTTTCATTTGATCATGTCGACTTCAATATGGAAGGAAAATACTTATAAGTCTTAAAAATAATACAACTTATAATACAGTATCTAGACTGTCCATTTTAAAGATTATTCGGTTATTTGTTAACATGCTCGACCCTCATTATTTTAAAAATTTTGAAGTTCATAATTACAGATGAAAATTTATTTTCCAATCATTTTATAAATTTGAGTGATTTACATACAAATACTAAAAAAGTTCTAACATATGAAATGTTCCATTTATTGATAGAAATTAAAAAAAAGGTCGGTCAACTACTTTTTAAAATTTTTCAAAATTGCCCTTTTGTTCGTGGATGGATGGAATCCTCAGTACGGATTAAAAAAAAAAAAGCTATTTCCTTAATAAGACAGCGGCCCAAGCTTTACGGCAGTGCCCTACTAATGAAAAACTACAAAAATTAAAATTGAATCTGAGTATGTCCTCCAGGAGCAATTTTGAAAAAAAAAAAACATAAAAATGCTTTACAGCTTGTTTAGAGGTGCCCCAATTGTTTAAGATTGAGAGACCCGACCTGTTAACCTTAAAGTGAGATACACACACAGAAAAGAAGCTTCACCCTCCCACCATTTTTCCTTGTAAAAAACGAGGTCTACTATATTACTGCTTTAAACTTTAAAGCCTCTGCAACGCAAACATGTGACCGTCTGTCTCTCTTGTACGGGTTATTTCAAATACATTCAGTTTCCATAAAGTCCAAGGGCTTGACCCACATTGATAAGGGACCGTATAAAATATAGGTCCTTGTTACATTTTGGCTAAATGTTAGAACCTACTTTTCTTCATACTTGTGTCATGCTCTATGTATGCAAGAATCACTTAAACAGGTTCTATTTTTACCAACTACTTTTCTTTTTATGTCTAATGAATAATAAAACTCCAACTAAGTGGGCCCACACACTCACCAAGATCGCAATATTATTTTAAATCAATAAAAGCCATACTATAACTGAAGACCATAAACTAAGATTGAGAAATATATGTATATTGGAACTAAAATTACTAAGAAAGTGAAGTTTTCATCTCATCTCCAAGGTTTGAAGCTCTTTACTGGGAAAAATTTGGGGAATTTCCACGATGCGAAAAATTGACTCGTAGAATATTATTAAATAGTAGAAAAAGGGTAAAAAAGAATTCCCCTGGCACTTGAAATCAATGCTACAAGTATTACAGTTGACGGGGTCAATGACCATCTGCTTTCACCATGTGTACATAGAGTCAACTAAGGTGGCTGATTCTCTCGCAAAAGTGGGGCTTTCTACTACTTGTGACTTCTTTCAGTCGATAAAGGCTTGGGAAAATTTTTAAAAAAACTTCAACACAAAACTTTCTATGTAATTTACCTCTAAATTAATTTTTTTTTTCATTTTTTTTTCTCCATAATACACTTTCAATACAAATACCCCTCCAACCAAAATAAAGGGGCAATTTTTGGACCCAGGCAATGATGGGTCGGATCCTCCGGTCCAAGTCTATTGCCACCCCTGACGACAATCTTCACTGGATAAGAAGGGCTCCTTGTCGACAATCTTCAATGGATAAAAAGGGCCCCTTGTCAACAATCTTCAATGGATAAGACGTGCTCCTTGTCGACAATCTTCAATGGATAAGAAGGGCTCCTTGTTGATAATCTTCAATGGATAAGAAGGGCACCTTGTCGGCTCTCTCTCTCTCAAAAGTCTCAACACACCCTCCACCCTCTCCCACTCCTATAAATAGGGGTGACTCTAGGTGATCTTCACATCCTACTCTTTTAACAAGTGCTGCTTGCTCATTGAAAATGGCTTCCAAGACTCTTTTCATCCTAGGCATACTCTTGATTGCCTTCCTCCTCATCTCTTCTGAGGTTTGTGCTAAGGAGGTTGATGCTGGTAAGGAGTGTCATTCCATTTACAAACACGTAGTTTAGTTGTGTATATGCATTGTTTTCCAATAACTTTTGCATATTTAGTTAGATATGGAAATGCATTAGATGATGAAGGTGAAGGTTTCACATCCTCCACTCAAAGTCCACAAAATGTGAAAGTCTTTGTTTGCAAGAACTACGCCTTCCAGCCGTCCGCCGTGTTATCAGACGGCTGGGGCGAAGTGAAGTTTCCTACCGAAGATTCACAATGCTTATTTATTTGTATAGGTAAATACATTGACTCACTATAAATGCTATATAAGAACTCCAGAAATAATTGTTAAATTTCTTTTTAAATTTTGCCATATTTTTTCTGACCACATGAAGATTTGTGCATGCCGTGGCGGCCTTAATATTCTTCTTTGTATCGTTCCAAGTTCATCAGATGTCTGGGATTGCATCACTAAATCAAATATTAGCAAATAAATGAGGGATGAATATACATTAAAAACACGCTCTAGTTGTTCACGATGAAGATTTTTCTATAACTCCAAAAATCTTATTCTCTTTTTTTTCTCACTAAAAAATGACCAGTCGCTCTTGTTTCGCTGTGGCAGAGGAAGTTGTAGATAAGGAAGCTGCACAAACAGAGCAATACCGTCGATGTCGCCACAGATGCTGTGGCCATAGGGGGTGCTATTGTTGTTCCCAAACTGAGTTCGAAGCCCTCTCCGGGTATGGATGTCGCCACAGATGCTGTGGCCATAAGGGGTGCTATTGTTGCTCCCAAACTGAGTTCGACGCCCTCGCCAAAGCACAAGTAAACACTGAGGCCAAGCCCCATAACTAGACTTTCAGTCTAATGTGGCCTGTGTGTTTGGTTACAAGTCATGTACTTATAATACAGTATCTGCAGTAAATAAAGGCCATGTTGAGCATGCCCTTCCTTAAGGTTATCTATGCATAACCTTGTGCTATGTGGATTGTATATGTAGCCCTTTTGTGAATGGTTTATAAGTATCTTCATTGTGTCATTGCGATATGAGTATGATGTTCCCTTTTCTTTCTTTTTTTCTTTTTTCTTTTTTTTTATATGTTATTGCCTATTCATTTTCTGGTTGGAAAGTATTGCTTTAGTCTTGATAAGTAGATAAAAGTATTATTTATTCTGGTTAAATACTTGTATTTGATCTCATATTTTGGGTAAAGTTGATGGAGAATGTAGCAAGTAGAAACTAGCTAATGGCTTCAATTTAAGAAATGGTACCATTTCAAACTGGAAACCTTTTGTTCATTTGTATCTAATGTATGCTATAATTAAA